ATGTAAAGTTGGTAAGTGAGAGAGAAGCCATATTGTTTGCAAAGGTTAGCTTTTTACTTCTTTGCAGATTTATGCCCTGTGGCTTCTATGCCCAGCACTTGTCTCGAGGTATCTTTACCACCTGGAGGAATTATGATACTCGGTAAATTCGATATGAGGCACGAATTCTATTTAAGGTTTGTAATTAGGAAGGAAGAAGAAAAGCTATAGATGTAGCATATGAAGGAAACTTGGGAGGATTGATTATTTCTTTGACATATCTTCTTGTATAGTACCTTAAGTATGTATAGGTTTTAAACTACTAACTAATTTGCACACACATATTAACATAATAGGAATACGGTGACATAAACAAAGCAAATCTATAATTACCAGCCATCTCCAGTGAAGCCAAGAAAACCATTTAGGCACCCTAGGCATTTGTGAAAATTTATCTATGATATGATGGATATTTTCCAACTGTACTTGAACCATCAGACAAATTAAAGCAGCCCATTTCTGGGATCTGTTCACATCCCATATGTTCTTTTAACCATAGATAGTCTATAGTCATGAGATTTTGGGGTGCTACAACTTGCACCCCTCCCAACTCCTGGTTGAGTTCCAACAGTACAGATCCAGTCAAATTCGTTGTCTCACTGTATGCACATGCCAGCCTAGACATCTCCCTCCTCCTTCTTATGGCAAGTCCAGGAGACGGTGGGCTGGATGCAGCCACAACCGCAGCATCGTCCGGATCCCTGTGGAGGCTTTTTGATGATCATCCCCCGGCACGAGTCCTCCAGAGAGTGCTGATGCCGGAAGCTCCTCCTCATATCGTATCTTAGTTCATTTTCTGGGTATCCAAGCTAGGCCTTGATCTTCTGCGTAGAAACAAACAGACCCTTTGCCCACACTTTGACATGCCCTCTATACCACTGTGCAGAACTCATTGGAGGTCAGCACACAGTAACTGCTTTTTTTTTTTTTTTTTAATAAGAGAAAGGAATATTATCAGAAAAGAGTACCTCCATAGCTGATCATCTGACACCCTTTAAGTGATCAACATTAAGGATATTTAAAGCATGCGTTGATCTTTGATTTACCAATAGTTTTATCCTGTTAAGGAGTAATCCCCCTTTTCTTTCTTTCTTTCTTTTTTTTTTTTAAAATTTTTAATCTACACTTACCTGAAGAATACTATGTTTACTATGCTCTCCCCTATATCAGGTCCCCCCTAACAACCACATTACGGTTACTGTCCATCAGCTTAGCAAAATGTGGTAGAGTCACTACTTGTCCTCTCTGTGTTGTGCAGCCCACCCTCCCCTTTCTCCCTCCCCCCCATGCATGCTAATCTTAATACCCCCCTTCTTCTTCCCCCCCCTTATCCCTCCCTGCCCACCCATCCTCCCCAGTTCCTTTCCCTTTGGTACCTGTTAGTCCATTTTTGGGTTCTGTAATTCTGCTGCTGTTTTGTTCCTTCAGTTTTTCCTTTGTTCCTATACTCCTCAGATGAGTGAAATCATTTGGTATTTCTCTTTCTCCGCTTGGCTTATTTCACTGAGCATAATACTCTCCAGCTCCATCCATGTTGCTGCAAATGGTTGGATTTTTCCACTTCTTATGGCTGAGTAGTATTCCATTGTGTATATGTACCACATCTTCTTTATCCATTCATCTACAGATGGACATTTAGGTTGCTTCCAATTCTTGGCTATTGTAAATAGTGCTGCGATAAACATAGGAGTGCATCTGTCTTTCTCAAACTTGATTGCTGCGTTCTTAGGGTAAATTCCTAGGAGTGGAATTCCTGGGTCAAATGGTAGGTCTGTTTTGAGCATTTTGATGCACCTCCATACTGCTTTCCACAATGGTTGAACTAATTTACATTCCCACCAGCAGTGTAGGAGGGTTCCCCTTTCTCCACAGCCTCGCCAACATTTGTTGTTGTTTGTCTTTTGGATGGCAGCTATCCTTACTGGTGTGAGGTGATACCTCATTGTAGTTTTAATTTGCATTTCTCTGATAATTAGCGATGTGGAGCATCTTTTCATGTGTCTCTTGGCCATCTGTATTTCTTTTTTGGAGAACTGTCTGTTCAGTTCCTCTGCCCATTTTTTAATTGGGTTATTTGTTTTTTGTTTGTTGAGGCGTGTGAGCTCTTTATATATTCTGGACGTCAAGCCTTTATCAGATCTGTCATTTTCAAATATATTCTCCCATACTGTAGGGTTCCTTTTTGTTCTATTGATGGTGTCTTTCGCTGTACAGAAGCTTTTCAGCTTAATGTAGTCCCACTTGCTCATTTTTGCTGTTGTTTTCCTTGCCCGGGGAGATATGTTCAAGAAGAGATCACTCATGTTTATGTCTAAGAGGTTTTTGCCTATGTTTTTTTCCAAGAGTTTAATGGTTTCGTGACTTACATTCAGGTCTTTGATCCATTTTGAGTTTACCTTTGTATATGGGGTTAGACAATGGTCCAGTTTCATTCTCCTACATGTAGCTGTCCAGTTTTGCCAGCACCATCTGTTGAAGAGACTGTCATTTTGCCATTGTATGTCCATGGCTCCTTTATCAAATATTAATTGACCATATATGTTTGGGTTAATTTCTGGGGTCTCTAATCTGTTCCACTGGTCTGTGGCTCTGTTCTTGTGCCAGTACCAAATTGTCTTGATTACTATGGCTTTGTAGTAGAGCTTGAAGTTGGGGAGTGAGATCCCCCCTACTTTATTCTTCTTTTTCAGGATTGCTTTGGCTATTCGGGGTCTTTGGTGTTTCCATATGAATTTTTGAATTATTTGTTCCAATTCATTGAAGAATGTTGCTGGTAATTTGAGAGGGATTGCATCAAATTTGTATATTGCTTTCGGCAGGATGGCCATTTTGACGATATTAATTCTTCCTAGCCATGAGCATGGGATGAGTTTCCATTTATTAGTGTCCCCTTTAATTTCTCTTAAGAGTGACTTGTAGTTTTCAGAGTATAAGTCTTTCACTTCCTTGGTTAGGTTTATTCCTAGGTATTTTATTCTTTTTGATGCAATGGTGAATGGAATTGTTTTCCTGATTTCTCTTTCTATTGATTCGTTGTTAGTGTATAGGAAAGCTACAGATTTCTGTGTGTTAATTTTGTATCCTGCAACTTTGCTGTATTCCGATATCAGTTCTAGTAGTTTTGGAGTGGAGTCTTTAGGGTTTTTTATGTACAGTATCATATCATCTGCAAATAGTGACAGTTTAACTTCTTCTTTACCAATCTGGATTCCTTGTATTTCTTTGTTTTGTCTGATTGCCGTGGCTAGGACCTCCAGTACTATGTTAAATAACAGTGGGGAGAGTGGGCATCCCTGTCTGGTTCCCGATCTCAGAGGAAATGCTTTCAGCTTCTCGCTGTTCAGTATAATGCTGGCTGTGGGTTTATCATATATGGCCTTTATTATGTTGAGGTACTTGCCCTCTATTCCCATTTTGCTGAGAGTTTTTATCATGAATGGATGTTGAATTTTGTCAAATGCTTTTTCAGCATCTATGGAGATGATCATGTGGTTTTTGTCTTTCTTTTTGTTGATGTGGTGGATGATGTTGATGGATTTTCGAATGTTGTACCATCCTTGCATCCCTGGGATGAACCCCACTTGGTCATGGTGTATGATCCTTTTGATATACTGTTGAATTCTGTTTGCTAATATTTTATTGAGTATTTTTGCATCTACGTTCATCAGGGATATTGGTCTGTAATTTTCTTTTTTGGTGGGGTCTTTGCCTGGTTTTGTATTAGGGTGATGTTGGCTTCATAGAATAAGTTTGGGAGTATTCCCTCCTCTTCTATTTTTTGGAAAACTTTAAGGTGAATGGGTATTATGCCTTCTCTGTGTGTCTGATAAAATTCCAAGGTAAATCCATCCAGCCCCGGGGTTTTGTTCTTGGGTAGTTTTTTGATTACCGTTTCAATTTCTTTGCTTGTAATTGGTTTGTTTAACTTTTGTGTTTCTTTCTTGGTCAGTCTTGGGAGGTTGTATTTTTCTAGGAAGTTGTCCATTTCTTCTAGGTTTTCATATACCTTTTTTTTAATAAGCCTATTTTCATTTAAAGAATTACATGTTCATATCAAAATTAAAAACAAAATTTAAGGGAAATATGTCACTCAAGCATAACTTTATTTCCTTTATTTATTTATTCTTTTTAGTGTAATAGTATTTTTTATTTCTGATAGTTGTAGCCATATTGATTTATCCTTTTGGTTTTTCGCTTAGAATTGAATCTTGGGAAGAGCAAAATGGAGGAAAATGGTCAAATGATACAAACTTCCAGTTATAAAATAAATAAGGAATGGCTATATAATGTACAACGTGATGAATATAGCTAACACTGTGTGCAATATAAAGAAAGTTAAGAGAGTAAATCCTAAGGGTTCTCCTCACAAGGAGAAGTTCTTTTTTCCTTTTTTATTCTTTTTATTGTATCTATTTATGAGAAGAGAGTTGTTAGGTGAACTTACTGTGATAGTCACTTCACAATATATGTAAATCAAGCCATCATGTTGTAAAACTTATACAGTGATGTATGTGAATTGTTTTTCAATCAAACGGGGGAAAAATTTAACATTAAGTATATTACATAGTATTCACAGTAGTTAAGTGACTGATATTCCACTGAATATGTATACGGTAGTTTACTTCAAAATTCCTCTTGTGTTCATTTCTGTTCCAGCATTTCAGGTTGCTTTCAAATATGCTGTAATGCCCTTCTTTGTACATTGTTCCTTTTTCCGTAGTTAGGGTTATTTAGTCCCATACCCTAAACGTAGTCAGGGTCATTATCAGGAAACTACTGTGCTTTCTCTTCAGCTCTGATTGTTAATACAATTACTTTGCGTCTTTGGTATGTAGAAGTGTATGTATTGGGCATCCTTAGATTCTCAATAAGGCTTGTAGTGGATTATAAGGATAAAATTATCTTTGATTGCTGAGATCAGATGACATGCAAGTTGGGCTTCACCCTCTTCTTCTCTCTAGGATATTTTAGAAGAAAGTATGCGTCCTCCCAAGCTATCTCCTTACTGTGGATGGGTGATAGATCATGTCTTAGCCCATCAGCAAGAGAGACCACTTCCCTCAAAAACTTCAACATCCTCTAGATCTGCTTCAGACCTAGACCAGCCTTCATTTGTTCCCACATCTCCTGTCACAAGCCCTGCCTTCTCACCAGCCTCCTCAGCACCAAATGGAACCAAGGTAAGGGTTTTAATCAGCTTAAGACAAAAGACAATGGTGGCTATAAAGCTGAAGTGTTTAATATCATCGTACAACGCTTGACCTTATCCGGAGAAAAATAATGACTGCTGCTTCTTGTAGCTGTTTGTAGGGACAATGTTACTACATCACCCAGTGTTCTTTTTATGGAGACCCAGAGAGAGAAATTCTCGTCTGTTCTTAACACCAAGAATACTAATTAATTTTATGAGCAGTTGGATTGTTTTTTCTCATGAGCATTGCATGTGTTTAACTCATAAGGTCTCCCTTTTTGTGTTGGCTGCTGGAAGGCTTCGTGTAAAATTTATACCAGCTCTTGAATTTATTTATCATTGGCTCTGCATGAATTTTTACCCTCTTTCGGCTCTTTTGTCCCCAATTTTGTTTCTCCTACTTAAAAACAGTTAAATTGTTATTGGTGGTGTCCTTCCTATCTGGTGCTGGACAGAATTGCTGAGATCCTCTCCAAGTATGAAACTCAGTCATTCTTGAGGTTAAATGAAGTTTTGGAGGGCTTTCTATAATGCATTATTGTATCATTTAGGAGTGGCGTTTAAAAAACAGAAAACCAATTTAAACTAGCTTGAGGAAAACAAGGAAGAGAGAAAGGAATTAATTAAGTAATTTATTATTAATTAATTTCTAAGTAGGCAGTCTAGGAGCGCATTTAGAATCAGTTAGGCGATCTGTTTTCCGCTTTTCTCTGGTTTACATCATTTCTGGCATGATCCAGTGACCCAGACACAGGCCTTTGCCTCTCGTTCTCTCGATTCTGCCTCACTCTTCCTGGTTCATTTTTCATGTAGACTCTATATGGCAAGATGGCTGTTGGTAGCTCTCGACACACATCTTCCGAGGTTAACATCCCCAGATGAAGAGAAAGCCCTCTCAGAAGCTCCATCAGAAAAAGAGAGGTGGACTCTGCCCCAGCTTGGGTCATAGGCCTCATTCCTGAAGCAGACGCAGGGTGACAGAGCACTTTGATTGCAGGCTGGTTGCATGATCACCCCTGAGGCTAGGAGTGCAGAAGACTTGGGGGTGTGGGTTGGGGTTGCTCCACCCACATGGCCTGAGCACAACTGGATGCTTAACAAAAGAAGGGGGAAAAGCTTTCTGGGCAGATCAGAACAGATAGTTACAAGGAGAAAAAAAATCTGCCCAAGTCAACAAGCATCCAGTTTTTAAGGAAGACAATTGGAACAGGGTCAGTGTCACGTAAAGCACACTGGTCTGACCTAGATTGTTTTGTTGTTGCTTCTATTAGTTGTTGTTCATAAGTAAGGATGTGGTTTTTGTATAGAGAGGATAATACCAACTTTATCATCCTAAAAGCTTGATTTTGTCATCTTCTGTCTGTACAGAGCAAACGTGAGTCCCAGCACACAGAATCTATGGCACTTCCGTCCCCCCGGGGGATCACAGTGGAAGGCTGCATCCGGATGTGTGAGCTGGTGCACAGAAGGAAAGCACTGGTAAGTGACCTCTGAAGTAAGGCCAGGTGGGCCCCCTAGGGAGCCGCCTTTAAATACATTTCCTAGGGGATTATGAATGCCCACCTTGTGCTACTCATCATGCCCCCACTAGCCTGCTCAGGGTGAAATAGAGGGCATGGGAGGATGTCAGAAGATTTGCAGATCTCTTTTTAAATCATTACAGTAGAAGTGCCTGGTGTCTGCCAATTTTAGTCTAATGATTTGGGGAAGGGGGCAGGAGTTGACTGTCCATAAACATTCCAGCCGACGTCTCTACTTTCAGCCCCATGAGCCCCACCTGATTTCAGGCCTGCCATTTCCCAGTCCTCAGCCTCTTGGAGGTTCTGCTGGTAGGCGGGCCTCTACCTGAGAGGCGTAGTCTGAGTGTGTGTCTCCTCGGGCTTTCTCCGCCCCGCCTGTCGGTCCGCACTCCTCCGTGGACTCCTCTCTTCTAGAGGATGTTGACAGTTTTTCCCTGCTGCTGATCGCCCTCCTGTGCTCTCTGATGTTGTCTTTTTTTTTCTTTTCTTCTCAATTCTTATTTAAACAGAGGCTCCGAGGAGAAGATATATATGCTTTCTTTAATTTGCCTTCTTCCACTGGAAGCTTTAAAAAAACTTTTAAAATAGAGTAACATAATGTATTTTGACATATCTCCATGACAGTGTATGTGGTATCTCATCCTCTTGAAAGGCTGCAGAGTATTCTCCATTATGACACACTGTAATAAATTTAACCAGTCCCCATTTAATTTGTTTAAAATTTATTGCCATTATCAACAGGGCTGCAGTGAACAACCTTGCTTATAAATCTTTGCACACGCATGCAAGTATTTCCTTAGGATAAATGCCTAAAGGGGAGCTAGAGTCAAAGTGTATGTATATGCTTCAGATTTTGATAGTTAAGATGTCACTTCACCCCTAAAAACCATATGGGAACCCTCTTGAATAATAGTAGAAATACCTGGTCCCCTCAGATATAAAGGAAAGGGACTTAGCTAAGTGGAGATTGGCAAAAAATCTAGGCAAAATAATAGGACAAGGAAAGAAGTGAGATAGGAATGTGCATAGCATGTTGGTGGAGTCAGAGCAAGGATTTCTGTAGAATACCCTGAAACCGTCATGAGATCACAGAGGATGGAGGCTTCAACACTCGGGGCTATTTGGTGCTATGTTGGTGAATTCCCACTTATTTCCAGCTTATACTGGTGTGACATAAAGAGTATGGGGCAAATTGGAGGAGTTCACCAAACAGCTGAGTTTAAGTATCAGCCCAAAGGGGCGAGCTGACTTGAGCACAGTTTCTGAGAAGGCAGCAGATGATTCCATGCCCTGGAGTAGCCTTGGCATTGTTAGGTCTGATGGGAGGGCATTCCAGGGGGTGAGGGAGGCGGTAAAGGGGCTCCAGAGAGCGGTGCTGCTTCTCTCCAGGAGAGGCTGAGGTGCCGGCAGGAGGAGCAGGAGAAGATGGTGCGAGCCTTCGCCGACATGGCTTCTGAACAACTGAAGCGGTATGATGAGCGGAGGGAGCTGAAGCACCATAAAGAACTCCAGGACCTTCGGGAAATGATGGAGAAGAGGTGGGTTGCCCTGGGGGGGGGGTATGACCAGGAATGTCAGTGTGCTCAACTGGAGCTCTTTCCCAGCCCAAAACCCAAAGGGAAAAAGAGTCCAACTTACTTTGAATCCTTAAAGTATCAAAATAACAGAGAAGCTTATAATGTAGAAAACTGAGCAACCTTGGGAAGAGGACCAACATCTGACAGAGAGGGAGGCTGTTAGGAGAGGTCAAGGGACCACAGGAAGCATCCCCAGCTCTTCTTCCTGCCATTTTCCCCTCAGCTCCAGAGAAGCCCTGGGCCACCAAGAGAAGCTAAAAGCTGAGCATCGTCACAGAGCAAAGGTCAGAGCCTGGGCAGTCCGTGTGGGTGGCTCAGCGTCTGGCTGTACACTGCCTGCGGAGTCATGTTCCGGCAGTCATGGAGGACCTGGCCCACAGGCCTCTGTGTGCCTGGCCTTGGGCTGTCCTCTTCCTGCCGTGGGGCCCCACAGGACTCGAAGAATGTAGAGAGAGAAGGCCCAGGAGCCCCTCGGAGAGAGGTAACCTGACAACCCTTCCTACAGATTCTCAACCTGAAGCTGCGGGAGGCAGAGCAACAGCGCCTGAAGCAAGTGGAACAGGAGCGGCTGCGGAAGGAAGAAGGCCAGACCCGCCTGCGGAGGCTCTACGCCCTGCAGGAGGAGGTGCTGCACCTCAGCCAGCAGCTGGACGCCTCGGAGCGGCGGCACAGAGACCTGAAGGCTGACCTTTCTGCCTTCCGCACCCGAGGCAACCAGCTGTGTGGCCTCATCTCGGGGATCATCCGGGCCACGTGTGAGGTGAGGGGGCTTCAGAGGGACTCTGTCTTCTGTCTTTGACACGGAGAGCCTTAAAAACAAAATTGTTTTCTGATTCAAAACTAGAGCCTGCTTATTGTAGAGAATGGCAAACATCACTTGTCATCTGCTAACCTAGAGTTAGCCACTGTTACATTTTCTGTTTCTTCCCTGACAGTGTGTGTGAGATTCCCCACCCCAAACTGGACTCATCTAGGTAGTTTCATATTGTCACTTAAAAAGTACATGTTTCAATATGGCTTCTCTCTCACTTACCAACTTTACATCTCCCTGTATGGCCCCGGAAGATGACTGGTTAGCCAGAGACGGGTAAGATTCCTCAAGGGAGGAACAACCTAAGACAGGCACAGTCGCAGGGGGGCCATCAGGTGAGAATTTGGGGGTCAACAGAGGTGAGGCTCAGAACCTCACCCCCCCTGCTTTGAGAGAAATCTTCTGCATCCGTGGATGTCTTGCTGCCCTTGTCTAGCCTGGATTAATACTTAGTCCATAGGCACACACCTGATCATCTGATCATCTACATTTGCTCTCTTACAGCACTAAACTATGTTTTCTACCTTTATCTTGCATCTACCTACCACTTCAGCATTTTATTAAAAATAAAAATAATAATAATAATAGGAGAAATGTGGGATCAACATATAAATCAAGTACAAAAATCAAACGAATATTCATATTTGACCTGATTGTTTATAGGTCATAATGCATGATCAAAACCGAAAGTTTCTGTGATGACTGCCCTTGTACTGTTCACCATGTAAGAATTTATTTACTATGTAAGAATTCGTTCACCATGTAAGAACTTGTTCGTTATGCTTCAGAAGATTGGAGACTGACGAGAATTAGGCTTGAGATGGATTAATGATTGTACATTGAGCGTTGACCCCCCTATACTGAATTTTATTGTTGTTAACAACCATTTGATCAATAAATATGAGAGATGCCCTCTCAAAAAAAAAAAAAAAGTACATGTTTCTTCTGTTTACAAAATACTTTAATTCATTTGGTAATATTGACCTGCTGTTCTTATGGTAAAAATGGAAACTTTACAGAAATGCGTATTGCTTTTCTTTGAGCACATAACTATTGTAATCGTTAAAAGTATTTTGATATTTTTGAGGTGCTGTTAAGAAATGCAGGTATTGCGTTGACACATAGTAGCTATGAAATAAATATTTGATAAACAGATGAAATTGGATACTTCCAACATATAGCCATACTAAAATTTATTGAAAAAAATAATGCCTGTTGAATATTTAAGTTTCTTTATTCTCACTACCATGCATAACACAGCAGCTTATATGTCTTTTCCATATTTCTGATTATGAGATAAATTCCTAGAAGTGAATTAGTTAAAGAATTTTAAGGTTCTTGATTCACATCCAAAAGTTATACCAATTCACACTTGTATAAATTGTTTGTTCTCACCCTTAGTTCGTATGTCTACCAGAGTTCATGATTTAAAAAACCAACTTATATGACCTATAAATTATTAAGAACTTTAAGCATTTATCATATCTGAGGAAGAAGTTTATTTTGATAGCCTGTTGTTCCCTTTGAATTCTCTCCATGGCTTTTGCTTACCTTTCTTTTTGTAAAATTTCAAACCTATACGGAAGGCGAACAGCCCAGTGGTCCTCATGTACCCATTCCCCAGCTTTAGCAAGACTCAACACGGGGCAGTCTTGTTTCATCTATAAACCACCCGCACCCCTCCCCCAGACGGCAAACACAGAAACATGTTGGTTTATCTGGAAAATACTTTGGTTTGTACCTCTAAAAGAGGTTTGTACCTCTAAAAGTATGGCCCTCGTATGTACCCCTAAAAGATAAAACTCTCTGTTAACATAACCAGATACTAATCTTATACCTAAAAAACTAAAAAGTTTCCTTAATATGACCAGATATCTAGTCATTGTTCAAATTTCTGTAATTGTTTCAAAATTTTTTAACAATCGGTTAGAAAATTAGCATCCACACAGAGTGCAGCCTTTTGGTTTGCTTTATGTATGTCTTCCTCTTCCCAGACAAAAGATAGCTTACTGGATGTACTATTCTAGACTTTGCTTTTAGGGGTCGTTTGAGGGGTTTGGCCCAGTGCTTTCAGGCTGCCACCCCCTGCCTCTATTTTTTTTATTTAAATGTCATTGATATACAATCTTAGAAGGTATCACATGAATAACACTGTAGTTTCAACATTCAACCATATTATCAAGTCCTCACTGCCCAACCCCCCGTTGCAGTCACTGTCTATCAGTGTAGTAAGACTCTGTAAAGTCATTACTTACCTTCTCTGTGCTGTACTGCCTTCCCTGAGACCTACCTATATTGTGATTACGGATTATAGTGCCCCTTAATCCCCTTCTCCCTCCCCACCCGCCCTCCCCAACCCCTCCCCTTTGGTAACCACTTGTGCTTTCTTGGAGTCTGTGTGTCTGCTGCTGTTTTGTTCCTTCAGTTTCGCTTTGTTCTTATACTCCACAAATGAGTGAAGTCATTTGGTACTTGTCTTTCTCCACCTGGTTTATTTCACGGAGAATAATACCCTCTAGTTCAACCCATGTTGTTGCAAATGGTAGGATCTGTTTTCTTCTTATGGATGAATAATATCCCATTGTGTATATGTACCACATCTTCTTTATCCATTCATCTACTGATGGACACTCAGGTCGCTTCCATACCTATTGTAAATAGTGCTGCGATAAACATAGGGGTGTATATGTCTATTTGAATCTGGGATCTTGTTTTCTTTGGGTAAATTCCTAGGAGTGGCATCTCTGGATCAAATGTTATTTCTATTTTTAGTTTTTTGAGGAACCTCAATAATTGCTTTCCACAGTGGTTGAACTAATTTAGATTCCCACTAACAGTGTAGGAGGGTTAACCTTTCTCTGCATCCTTGCCAGCATTTATTGTTTCTTGTCTTTTGGATGTTGGCCATCTTAACTTGTGTGAGGTGGTATCTCGTTGCAGTTTTAATGTGCATTTCCCTGATGAGTAGCGATGTGGAGCATCTTTTCACGTGCCTGTTGGCCATCTGAATTTCTTCTTTCGAGAAATGTGTGTGCATATCCTCTGCCTTTTTTTTTTTTTGAGAGGGCATCTCTCATATTTATTGATCCAATGGTTGTTAACAACAATAAAATTCTGTATAGGGGAGTCAATGCTCAATGCACAATCATTAATCCATCTCAGGCCTAATTCTCATCAGTCTCCAATCTTCTGAAGCATAATGAACAAGTTCTTACATGGTGAACAAATTCTTACATAGTGAATAAGTTCTTACATGGTGAACAGTACAAGGGCAGTCATCACAGAAACTTTCAGTTTTGATCACGCATTATGAACTATAAACAATCAAGTCATATATGAATATTCGTTTGATTTTTATACTTGATTTATATGTGGATCCCACATTTCTCCCTTTATGATTATGATTATTATTATTTTTATTTTTAATAAAATGCTGAAGTGGTAGGTAGATGCAAGATAAAGGTAGAAAACATAGTTTAGTGTTGTAAGAGAGCAATTGTAGATGATCAGGTGTGTGCCTGTAGACTATGTGTTAATCCAAGCTAGACAAGGGCATTAAAACATCCACAGATGCAGAAGATTTCTCTCAAAACGGGGGGTGAGGTTCTAAGCCTCACCACTGTTGATCCCCAATTTCTCACCTGATGGCCCCCCTGTGACTGTGCCTGTCTTAGGTTGTTCCTCCCTTGAGGCTCTGCCCGTTTTTTAATCAGGTTGTTTTTTGGGTGTTGAGGTATGTGAGTTCTTTATATAGATGTTAACCCCTTATCAGATAAGTCATTTATGAATATATTCTCCCATACTGTAGAAAGCATTCTTGTTCTACTGATGGTGTCTTTTGCTGTACAGAAGCTTTTTAGTGTGATATAGTCCTACTTGTTCATTATTTATTTTGTTTCCCTTGCCTGAGGAGATGTATTCAGAAGACTTTGCTTTTTTACACGTAATCTATCCTGGAGGTAACTGCTTAGCAACACATAGAGTTTCCCTCATTTCTTTATATAACTGCATAGAACTCTATTGTGAGGGTGTATGTTGTACAACCATAGTTTATGCCATTTTTGATGTAAAGAAATTCTGGGGTTTTTTCCTCATTTAATCCACCTGAAATTTGTTTGATGATTGGTGGGAGATAAAGATCTTAATTTAAAAGTATTCATACTGTTTTATCACCACTTTTCCGTCCTCATTTGTAAATCTCTTTTACCAAACTAAATACTACCCTGGGAGCTCTTTTGCAATACTCCTTTCTGTTTCCTTGATATGGGTTTTTATTCTTATACCAGAATCACCCTCTTTTAGGTATAGCTGTATAATATATTTTAGTATCAAAAAGGGAAAACTTAACATGAATTTCCTGTAGAATTTTCATATTCTACTACCTTGGACAAGTTGGTTTAAAATGAGAGGAGTCGTTGATATACTGGACAAAACCATGAAATCTGTTTATAGGACAGAACATAGAAAATAATGTAGAATGTCTCAATTCATTTTATAATCCTAATAGTCAAATTCTAACACAGTAGCACACACACAAAAATGTGCATTTCGTTCTGATTTATGCAATCTCATTTATGAGCAGAAGTTCTAAATAAAAGATAAGTAAATAAAATTTATCAGTGCCACAAAAGAATAATGCATTATAACCAGAGGTATTAGTCAAAGAATAATGTGAAGCTGGTTCAGTTGTTATGAAATCTGTTTGTGAAATTCATTTCATTAGTAGGCTAATGAAGCAAAATCATATGTTTATCTCATCTGATATTGTGAATGTGTATGTTAAAATTTGATGTCCTTTCCTAATTAAAAAAACTTACACAGTAAACAGAATAAAAATATGTTTCTTGTTAACATGATCAAGAATAGGGATCCATCTAAAGAAGATGTGGTACATATACACAATGGAATATTACTCAGCTATAAGAAAAAAACACATCCTACCATTTGCAACAGCATGGATGAAGCTAGAGGGTATTATGCTCAGTGAAATAAGCCAAGTGGAGAAGGACAAGTACCAAATGATTTCACTCATATGTGGAGTAAGAAAAAAGGAAAACTGAAGGAACAAAACAGCAGCAGAATCATAGAACCCGAGAATGGACTAACAGTTACCAAAGGGAAAGGGACTGGGGAGGATGGGTGGGAAGGGAGGGAGAAGGGCGGGGAAAAAGAAAGGGGGCATTATGATTAGCATGTATAGTGTAGGGGGGCATGGGTAGGGCTGTGCAACACAGAGAAGACAAGTAGTGATTTTACAGCAGTGGGCAGTGGACAGTGACTGTGAAGGGGTATGTGGCGGGGACTTGGTGAAGGGGGGAGCCTAGTAAACATAATGTCTTTCATGTAATTGTAGATTAATGATACCAAAATTTAAAAAATTAAGAAAAAAGGTTCTACAAAAAAAAAAAAGAATATGTATCCATCAATGACTACATTTCAGATAATGCTGTTAAAAGTGGGAGACAAATAATATAGCACTTTATTACCTTTCTTCAATCTTGTTTTTAAAGTTTTAGCCAATACAAAATAATTGTAACAAAGTATAAATATTTAAATGAAGAAATGTGATTTGATGACAGCATGTCTACCTCAAAAGCTAAGAGTAAGAAAACTGGAAAGTATGAGGTTTTTTTAATGAGATTTTAGTAATGTGGCCAAGTTAAAAATACTCTGGAAAAAAAAAAAGAGTTAAAAAACAATGATGAAATACAGAATACCTGGAAATAAACTAGCATGAAATAGATGCAATTTACATGGAGAAAAGTATGGAACTTAGTTGAATTTATAAAATGAGGCTTGAATGAATAGAAGAATTTACCGTGTTCCTGAGGCCTCCTTAAAGTAAGTCACCAAATTTGTCCAAATCAATAAATTTAGTGAAATTCTAATAAAAATATGTAGACTGTTTCAAAAAGAAATCTACTGATGGGGAACTTGCAATCAAATAAAAAAACATTTTCTAACACCATAGTTAAAGCAGCTTCTTCTTGCCTGCGTACAGACAGCAAGATTAGTGGAACAGAATAGCAAGCCCCAGAAAGACACACATTTTCTATAGGAAATTAATATATTACAAAGGTATCATTTCAAATCAGTGGGGAAAAGAGCGATTATTTAGAACCATAAAAGTAAATATTAAATTTGTACCATTCTTTCATCTTACTCCATATTTCTTGGGTGTTTAAATGTAATATTGTAGAGAAACAAGAAGAAAAAATGATGTTCCGTGGGAAAAAATTCAGGTGAATATTTGAATTACGGCATGGACACCCTGTGTAAGCATAGCAATAAAAGCCGATGTAAATGAAAAGGGTCAATAACTGTAAGCACATAAACGTTAAAGACACATTTTATAAGTTAGGAAATGTATTTGTGGCATATACAGCAGAGCTCTATTCAATGTCTGTGATACAAAGAGTTCTTGTGATTTATGGGGAAAAAAAGGTAAGTACATCACACTCTTTCTACCTACCTCCATCCCACTAATGGAAAAATGAACAAAGGACAGAACAAGCAGCTTATAAGAGCAGAAATATAATTGCCTAGTAAATTATAAAGTAAGTTCAAAATCACCATTAGCATATGGAATACACAGTATCATTTTTATCTGGAGTGTCGTCTGAAGCTTTTAAAGAACTATTCCAGCTATTATTGGTGACAGCATAGAAAAATCTATCTTCAGATACTGTGGATGTGATGGTGAATCAGTGTTACCTATATGAGAACAGAAAACAGTAGGTCTGAACGCATTGAATGCGGGTACTCCATCGGCACAAAAATCCCAATTCTGGAAGCGTATTGATTTGTGTGAGGTCTGATTCCATTCCCAGGTGCCTAGGCCATAACCTAAGGTCTGTCTCTGTCACCCTGACAGAACGGCCTTCCCACGGCAGAGGACCAGGCTGCGGCCGAGAGGGCTCTGCAGGAAATGCGGGACCTCCTTCGGAACTCGGAGCAGGAGATGACCAGGGCCTGTGAGGACAGGAGGAGGCAGGAGGCGGAGGAGGCCCGGGTAAAGCAGCAGGAGTCCCAGGGGAAGCAGGGCCCTGAGGTCCACACAGAGTCCCCGGCTCCCAGCCAGGGCCCAGGAAGGACACAGAGTGACGGTGAGTTTTGGTGTGGCGAGAACCCTTTCACTCTGAGTGTGAAAAGAAAAAAGAATGTGCTTTAAGTATTGTGTTAGGCCACAGGACGGTTTCCTACAACTTTTACATAATGTGCTTTTACCGAATTGCTGTCAGTTTGGTTGCTGTGGAGCCTGAACTCAGATTGCAGCCTGTGCCATGAGGATTGAAATTCTGTGTAATCCTAGTAGATGTATTATTCCAAGCATTTCTGCCACTGAGTATTTTAGATAAATGTGTGTGAACAAGATATGTGTTCATTTACTACATCAGGCAGTAAGTATAGCATACAGGTTGAGAATAATGCTGGTTTTGGAGCCGGATTGGTGGCAATCTAGTTTTTCTGCTTCCTAGCAGTGTGACTTTGGAAATTACTTAACCTTTCTGTGCTATTGCCTAATCTATAAAATAAAGATAATTACAGTGTCTCCTTCACAGGATTATTGTGGCACTGAAAGCAGTTCATAGCATATGTAAGGAGATGAGAATAGTGCCTGGCTCATCAGCAAATGCTGGCTATTAAGAAAGCCTCTCTGTTATCCCTCAGAACTCCAGTTCAAGGCACAAGACAGCACAATGCAGTGGTACCAGCAGCTACAGGATGTTGCCAGTCAGTGTGCGTTGGCCTTTGAGGGACTGACCAGCAGCAAAGACAGTCAGGTAGGCAGCAGTGTAAATCAGGAGTTCTCTGGGCCTTCTCGTGCTGTGTCCCCCAGGAAGGTCTCTAGCCCCTCATGTTCCCTGACCCTAACAGCATCTACTCAGCTCTTCAAAACTCTCTGCCTTCTCACTGTTTTCACGGGGCAGGTCAGAAAGATAAAGATGGACCTCCAGAAGGCTGCCACCATCCCAGTGAGCCAAATCTCCACCCTATCAGGTTAGTCAGAGGGGTTAAGAGCATGGCCCTTCACTTCATTTATTGTTTTTTAAGATTCTGAATCTATTTATCTGTAAGGTTTCTATAAACAGACTATGTTCAAACAAGTGTTCATAGTTGAATCAGGTATGTGTAAGTTCTGTGCGTCCTGTTTTACTCTGCTTTATTTCCTCTTCAACACACAGAAGGTAATTGTTACGTGTTTGTTGACTCGTTTTTTTTAAAAATAAGCTGTATATTAGTAGTAAATTATTTAGGAAGGCTCTTAGCTGGAGTTGAAAGGTACTGCTGAAAACATTTCTAAGGGAACCTAGGATGTGACCTATTCTTTGCTTTTGTCCTGTTTCATCATCTTTCCAAACTTGAAGCGTGCCTAAATACTTTAAAACAAGTCCCTTTTCTCCCCAGAGACTGAGATTTAGAGAAAAAAATAGACAGGAAAGACCCTTCTTCCTCTTCTATGGAAACAGGTTCCATTTCACAGAAGCCTCCGGATTACCGACTGCGGCCAAGTGGCCAGGGCGTGTGTACAGCTGGAAGGCCGCTCTGACTTAGCAAGGCTCCCGGGGCCCCTGATTAACTTATTACCTAAAAAGTATCGGAGAGTCTCAGCTTCTGCCCTTGAGAGGCTATGTCACAATGTGGTAGGAAGCCAGGGAGACAAAGTTTCTGTTGAGGCTTCAAGAATGTAGAGGAATCACAAGGGGCTTGGGTGCTTGAGATGGAAGCAATGTCACAATGTGTTCGTGTTGTGGGACTCGGTGGTATGGAACAGCTTGTTGGTCATAGTCGTGGAAGCCCATTCGTTTATTATACGGTATCTGGGTAACCTTTACAGAGATAGATTAAAATGAAGCTAGCATCCTGGGTACACCTATATAGCTCCCACTGCAACGGTTCCTGGATGCTGTCTCCCCCGCTCCCCAACCTTCTGGTGAATGTATGAAAGGCACAGCACCGCTGCTCTCCAGGCTCAGCCTGTGGATAGGAATCCGCTGAGTCAGTGCCGGCACTGATAAATGCTGCTGCTCCCCGAACGTGTCGGCGTCCCGATGTCTTGTTTGTAGGTGCGTGATACCTGCCGCAACAGAACTTAGTATAGCTTTCAGGAATGTGGAGTGCCTTTCCCTGTGGTAGCCACAGGGGACATGCTGACTAGATGGCCGTTCCTCGCCTGCACTGCCCTCCTCAGCTCATCCCCAGGCCCCCTGGGTGACCGCAGTCAGCCCTGAGAGCCGGAGGTGCTTGCCCCTCCCACCTGTCCACAGCTGTATTTCCCTCTTGTCATCCTGGTTCAAAGGACAGGTGTCCTTCCAGCCCACGGCTCCTTCTCCCTCCGCTTGTTCCCATCCCTTCCCACCTCCTTCAAGACTTCGCCTCGTCATTTCTTGCCTTTCTCTCCTGTTTGCTGCAAATTGCTCCCTTCTGTGGGCTCCTTTCCCTTTAAACATACTTAAGTGCCTCACATCCTAAAATGTTCCCTTTGATTCTGTATGTAAGTATTTTCTAGTCTTCCTCGTGGGTGTGCTTGGTGCCAGGGATTATTCCCTTCCTTGTGGCCTGTATTTTGTGGGCTTCTGTGATGGGATCGACCCTCTTCCAGGTTCTCCTCCTACCCCTCTTCCTCCTGTGTGGGCTTCTGCCCCCCACCAACTGTAGGTGTTTCCTAGGAACCCTCCTCGCCCCTCAGACCTTCTCATTCTGCACACACCGTGGCTTCCAAGGTGACCTCCAGTGCCCGTGACTCCGCAGTCTGGTTCGTTCCTTCCCACTGAGCTCCAGGTTCCCTGGCTTCAGCTGTCTGAGCAGCGTCTCTGCTGGGTGTGAGTGAGCGGCTCCCACGTGCCTGGGGTTCAGCGCGTTCCAGTCTGAACTCGTCTTCCCACGCCTGCTTTCCTCCTGCTCGTGCTAAGTGACCAGCACTGTTCCCAGCTAGTCACTGAGCTGGAAACCTGCAAGTCCGCTTGACTGCCTCCTCTGTTTCACTCACGCTCCCCGTCTGACTAGGCTCTAGTTTTGCTGTTCTTCACTTTTCTGTGTATCTCCTGACTCTGTCCCTTTGTCTCTGTCACTTCTGTAAGCCCTTGTCCTGCAGCCAGACACAGACGTGTACTAGCGTCAGTGCTCGGTAAACGTCAGGTCACCGAGAGAGCACCCAGTTCCTGTCTCTTTAGAGGTGGATGTCCATGAGTCGTTAGGTTCAAGCAGAATTTAAGTATCTTCGGTGCTGGCGTTGTACATGGGACGTGGGAGGCCGTGTCAGCCTCGGGTGGGGAGCTGGCTTTCCCAGCAGGAGAAGCGTGGAGAAGGGACTGGATGGGGGTTTTGGCCAGACAGGTTCTCTGAAACCCTCAGTGAACTGGTAAGTATGGATGTGAGCTGGGTGCGTTTGTATGGAAATGTACGTATTTTAATAATCTCTGTAAAGTTTGAGTCTTTAGTTCTGTTTTTCTGGGAATTATTAGTCTTGGGGTTTCTGTAATATCTCATTATTTAATTCTTTGTTCCCTCCTCCTTTTTTTACTTCCTAAGAAATGGGGTTGGCTTTTTTTTTTAGTAGAATTGAATTGGTGGTTTGGGAAGGATATTTTTGAGATTTTTATAACATTTCTCCAAGTAATTAGGAATTGATCCGGGTATTTCTAAACTAGCAATGCTGTATTCATTCATGTAAATTTTCATTGCAAATAATGGAAACTAATTTAGAGCTGCTTAACCAAAGAAAAATAAAAAAGGCCTTTGTTCTTAAGGTAAAGGGATTTTTCACAGAACCTAATGGCAGGAATGGGGCTATGTGGCTATGTTCTCCGGAAGTAGAAACTTTCATGCCTTTCTCTCTTCCATCTTGTCTTCACTCTGTATATCTTTGTTCTTATTTTTGGTCCACATGGCAGGTGCTGGGCCCCCTGCTCACAGGTGTGTGCTGTAGGCCAGCACTGCAGGGAGTTGACTGTCCATTGGCTGGTTCAGCTTGCCCACTCCTCCTCTAACTGTAGCCAGTGCTGGGGATGGGGCACGCAGGACCTGCAATCCAAACGGCTAGTGTAGCCACTCTTCTGTCTCTGAGGATGAAGGAGAGCAGGTCCTGGGGCGGGGAGGGTGGGGCATCATTATGTGTTGGGAGATCCTTTAGATAGTTTATTTCCTGGAGATGGTATCTTTGTTTTGGAGATACCAACCACAGCCCATAGGATCTGTTACAGTTCACACCTTTTCCATACTGTTTGTCTCTCTGTTTGATGTGTCTATTTCAGAATTAGTTCGTTCCCAAGTAAGGAATTCTTTTGAGATGGTACCATGTCGTATGTATTTCTGCACCTCAGACAACGTGCAGAAATTGATTGTCAAGTATTTATCCATATCAGTATTTTGACTTTAGGCTCTGAACTTTAATAGCACTTAATAGCTGGAGTTATATAGAGGCCTTGTTATTACAATGATGATGAGAAATGATCTGCAGATGTGTCTTCTCACTAAACTATCTCTGTCATATCCAGGCTCAAAGCTGAAGGAGGTATTTGACAAGATCCACAACCTACTCTCTGGAAAATCTGTTCAGTCTGGTGGGCGTGCTGTGTGTGTCTCACTTCACCCACAGGGCCTGGACTTTGTCCAGTACAAACTGGCAGAGAAATTTGTGGTGAGCAACCTTATTGCCAGAGGTACGGAAGAGGGGGCTGGTACACAATGTTTAAGCCTCTCTTGAGTATTAAGATTGCCCCATCTCTCTGTCCCCAGAAACAAGGAGATGAGGAAGTGGCCTCGCACCGTGAGGCAGCGTTTCCCATCGCAGTGGTGGTGTCCGGGATCTGGGAACTCTTCCCCAGAGTGGGGGCCCTCTTTCTGGCTCATCTGCACAAGAATTGCCCTTACTCGGTTCCTTTCTACCCAGCCTTCAAGGAGGGCATGGCTTTGGAAAACTATCAGAGGTAGTGTTGTTTCTCCTCACTGGCTATGAGGGTGATGAGTGAAATAGAAATAGAATTGGGATTCGTTTCACCCCCGCTTTCAGCTCCTCTTAACGCCCCTTGAGTGCCCTATCAGAAAACACAGTGTCTTTCATGCAAACTGGGTGACTTTTGGAATTTGTGGATTTAGGTACAATAATCAAGATAGTTTGATGGAAAGAATACTGGATCTAGAATCCTGGGGATATCTGCTTTGTCATTTAATAGATTTTCAAAATGGGTAAATCATTTAACCCCTTTGAGCATCTTTTTCCTTATTTGTATATGGGGGCAACGATATGCGTTACCTCCTGTGAGTTGCCTCAAAGGGCTTATATGATGCAAAGATTCGATCATGGAGATGAGTACTTTGTAAATTAAGTATTCTACAAATGTAATATCTAATAATTTAATAATGCTAAGTGTACTACTAATATAGTATTATTTTAGCCATGAAAATAGATTGTCACCCTCACTTCAGCCTTATCACATTGAGTTTTTTCTTCCGACATAGGATGCTTGGCTACCGAGTGGAGGATTCCAAGGTGGAACCGCAGAACAGATTTCTGAAACGCATGTCTGGGATGATCCGTCTGTATGCTGCCGTCATCCAGCTCCGGGGGCCATATGAGAGCCAACAGGAGGTAGCCGACCGGGGCTCCTGGCAGTGGCGAGAGTCAGCCCTCATTCTCATGGCTGCAGGAGATAGTCTATCCAGGGAGTCCTCCAGAGAGGGCAGTCTAGTTGCATGTTAAGCTAAAGGGTATTCTTGCTTCATAGGTATTCTCTAAAGAAGTTCATGTTAATTATTAGGAAACTTTTGGATCATTAGAGCCATTTCTTGAAGGACTAATTCATGTAAGACACTAAAGAACTGGGTTTGTAGAAGAGGCTGTCAGACAAGAGTAAGGTAAATCAGTCATTAAGGTTAAAGATTTTATTAGAAGAGGTGTGAGCAAGAAAGTGTCATATTAGACCCAGTTGGGCCTTAGAGGTCATCTAGGTCGTGTCCTCACTGACGGACAGATGGAGGCTTAGCAAGTCACAGGATCCACACTGTCAAGGACAGAGCCACAGCCCTATGCTTTCCCCAGGATACAGATTGGAGGTGAAGAAGTTAATGGACTCAGAGACATGAAGAGAAAGGAATATAAACGAACCGGATCTGAGCAGTTTTTACTGTGTACTTGCTATGTCCCAGGTTCTATGCTGAAGGCAGCAAAAGTGATGAGTAATAAGTAAAATATCTATAAGGGTAGCTGTTGGCCTATGGAACTCCTTGAGCTATAGCTGACAGATGTGTATTCAGGGGATCCTGAAAAGAATATGTGGGTCCCAGTGTGCTGGAACATTTAAAATCATGATTCGTTTGGGTTGTGCTGCCCTGAGGCATGTGCTTGTTTTAGGTGGTCTGCGGGTTCACATCTAATGGCTGGATTATAACATGGGGAATTTAGATCTCTGAATAAAATGAGATAGAATTATAGGCAAACTTCTGTTCTCCCAGGCTCATCCTCATGGCTTAAATCATGGCTGGCATTGGTTGGCACAGATCTTAAACATGGAGCCACTGTCGGATGTGACAGCCACCCTCCTCCTTGACTTTCTGGAGGTACGTGATGCGGTTGTCCCAGAAGGGAGGCAGTGGTTGCGGCAGCCCTGAGACCCCTGCGTGATGTGAACGGGGTAGCGGTGTGGAAGTAGAGGCGAGTGGTGAGCAGCTCTAGGACCCAGTGTCAGAATTCCTTCCCGAGCCCCAACACAAACCCACCTAGCTCTCCACTTCTCCCACTGTTCTTTCCTTCTCTCTGTGGATGTTTTCTTGTTGTAAACAACATAAAACTGCATCCTAACGCAAGGGAAAAGGTGAGTTTATTTTAGGGTGGAGAGTGACACCAAGAACGAAGGGTGGGGTGTGCGGTGGAATCTCACGAGGGCCGGGACCAGGAACGAGTGTCGCCAGGTACCAAGAGTCTCTCTGGGGCCACGTGATTGATCATTGGTTCTTCTCCTGCAAATTGGCTCATTCCTGCCATATAAGCCAACTTTCCTCCAGCTCCCTGTGCACAGTGGAGAAGATGGCCATCCAGGCAGTATCCCTCAGCCTCAGCGTGGTCACCCAGCCTAGTGGAGCTGGTGTCCCACCACCGTGACCCCTAATTCCCAGGAGAGAACATAAGATAAACCAGTGCTCCCACTCTAGGGTGAGGGTCAGGCTTCTGTGGGAAAGAGACACTTCTGAAAGAATAAAGGCTTGGCGTACATACCATACAACCTGGGGTCATTTGGCCTATAATGTCAATAGTTTCTAGTCACCTTTCAGTTTCTGAAGTTGCATACATGAGTAGTGATCCTGAATCACTGAGAACATAAGTGGTGTTCTGTGTACTGTGCTTAGTGAGGTTGAGAGGTATGCCACATGGTTCGAAAGGCTTCCATTCAATAGAATTGAAGAATATTTAAGTTTGATTCACATTTTCTGGTTTTCTGAAATACCTGGCTACCTGGCAGTCTGGTTAAAGGGAGGGAGGTATTGGCATATACAGAGGAAGGCTTCTGAAGAAAGTTGAATTTTTCCATCAGTTCCCGTAGTTAACTAGCCAAGCCAAGTGACATTGTGGCTAAAATTCTTGATATGAATGGAAGGCAGAGGGCTGATTGTGCTGGAAGGGGTCTCCCACGTGAGTGAATTTTCATTCTCTACTCGGTGCCTGTCTTCCCCTGCAGGTATGTGGGAATGCCCTCGTGAAGCAATACCAGGTGCAGTTCTGGAAAATGATGCTTCTCATCAAGGAAGACTACTTACCCCGGTATTAGCTCACTGAGCAGACACTCGGGGGTTTGGTGGGTGGAACTCATGACAGCAGATACCCTTTGGCACTGTTATATGCTGATTTTGGCTCAGTTTAAAACACCTGTGCAAAGTGTGACATCTCCCATCTTTTCTTGATATTTGAACAAACAGTTCTTAAGAGTTTCTCTTACACATTATTAGCTAAAAGAAGAAAACAAATAAGGAAGATCTTAGATTCAGATACCTAACATTTTTAAAATTCTGTCCTTTTCCAAACTCCCCCAGATAATCTGGGATGGTGATTACATGCAGTTATGAATTAAACAGAGTCAAATCCCATCAATAAATAAATCTGTTGGAGAAACTGGTTTATCGACCATCTGGCTTGAATCTAGTGTGGCTTTTCCCCTATCTGTAGCCTTCTTACCCTTGCCAGCTCATTGGCATCTCAGTGGGGGGAAAGACATTGGCATCCATATCCCACCTGACCACGGACACCTTGGGGAGGAACAGCGCTCTCTTCTCCTTTGTCTGGTTTGAAAAGAAGGTCGAGACCATTTGGAAAAGCAACAGCATTCTTAGTCTTTTAAGACATCTCTGCCCCTTCCTTCAGATCAACAGGGTGCTGAACTTGGCTCTAAAAGATAGGTGTGAACTGTAGGTGTGACTCAGTGTCTCTTTTCTCTCCCTATAGGATTGAAGGCATCACAAGCTCAGATCAGATGGGTTCCTTCACACGCCTCAAACGGTTCGTGGAGGTAAGACACCCTTAGACCAGCATGTCCCGAACTGTTGCTGTCCTCAAGTGGGCCTGGGTCTGACAAGCTTCAGATCTCTAGGCTCTGACTGCAATCTTCTCTTGATTTTTCTGAACCCTACATTTTTTTTAATCTCTTCTCCATCCTTTCTGTAATTACATCTTCAAAGACCGTATTTTTTTTTATTTTGTTATCATTAGTCTACAATTACGTGCAGAACATTATATTTACTAGACTCCCCCCCTTCACCAAGTCCCCCCCACAATCCCCATTACAGTCACTGTCCATCAGCGTAGTAAAATGCTGTAGAATCACTACCTGTCTTCTCTGTGTTTCACAACCCTCCCCATGCCCCCCCCACCTTAGACATGCTAATCGTAATGCCCCCTTTCTTTTCTCTGCCTTCTCCCTCCCTTCCCACCCATCCTCCCCAGTCCCTTTCCCTTTGGTAACTGTTAGTCCATTCTTGGGTTCTGTGATTCTGCTGCTGTTTTGTTCCTTCAGTCTTTCTTTGTTCTTATACTCCACATATGAGTGAAATCATTTGGTACTTGTCTTTCTCCACCTGGCTTATTTCACTGAGCATAATACCCTCTAGCTCCATCCATGTTGTTGCGAATGGTAGGATTTGCCACGTGATTGATCATTGGTTCTTCTCCTGCAAATTGGCTCATTCCTGCCATATAAGCCAACTTTCCTCCAGCTCCCTGTGCACAGTGGAGAAGATGGCCATCCAGGCAGTATCCCTCAGCCTCAGCGTGGTCACCCAGCCTAGTGGAGCTGGTGTCCCACCACCGTGACCCCTAATTCCCAGGAGAGAACATAAGATAAACCAGTGCTCCCACTCTAGGGTGAGGGTCAGGCTTCTGTGGGAAAGAGACACTTCTGAAAGAATAAAGGCTTGGCGTACATACCATACAACCTGGGGTCATTTGGCCTATAATGTCAATAGTTTCTAGTCACCTTTCAGTTTCTGAAGTTGCATACATGAGTAGTGATCCTGAATCACTGAGAACATAAGTGGTGTTCTGTGTACTGTGCTTAGTGAGGTTGAGAGGTATGCCACATGGTTCGAAAGGCTTCCATTCAATAGAATTGAAGAATATTTAAGTTTGATTCACATTTTCTGGTTTTCTGAAATACCTGGCTACCTGGCAGTCTGGTTAAAGGGAGGGAGGTATTGGCATATACAGAGGAAGGCTTCTGAAGAAAGTTGAATTTTTCCATCAGTTCCCGTAGTTAACTAGCCAAGCCAAGTGACATTGTGGCTAAAATTCTTGATATGAATGGAAGGCAGAGGGCTGATTGTGCTGGAAGGGGTCTCCCACGTGAGTGAATTTTCATTCTCTACTCGGTGCCTGTCTTCCCCTGCAGGTATGTGGGAATGCCCTCGTGAAGCAATACCAGGTGCAGTTCTGGAAAATGATGCTTCTCATCAAGGAAGACTACTTACCCCGGTATTAGCTCACTGAGCAGACACTCGGGGGTTTGGTGGGTGGAACTCATGACAGCAGATACCCTTTGGCACTGTTATATGCTGATTTTGGCTCAGTTTAAAACACCTGTGCAAAGTGTGACATCTCCCATCTTTTCTTGATATTTGAACAAACAGTTCTTAAGAGTTTCTCTTACACATTATTAGCTAAAAGAAGAAAACAAATAAGGAAGATCTTAGATTCAGATACCTAACATTTTTAAAATTCTGTCCTTTTCCAAACTCCCCCAGATAATCTGGGATGGTGATTACATGCAGTTATGAATTAAACAGAGTCAAATCCCATCAATAAATAAATCTGTTGGAGAAACTGGTTTATCGACCATCTGGCTTGAATCTAGTGTGGCTTTTCCCCTATCTGTAGCCTTCTTACCCTTGCCAGCTCATTGGCATCTCAGTGGGGGGAAAGACATTGGCATCCATATCCCACCTGACCACGGACACCTTGGGGAGGAACAGCGCTCTCTTCTCCTTTGTCTGGTTTGAAAAGAAGGTCGAGACCATTTGGAAAAGCAACAGCATTCTTAGTCTTTTAAGACATCTCTGCCCCTTCCTTCAGATCAACAGGGTGCTGAACTTGGCTCTAAAAGATAGGTGTGAACTGTAGGTGTGACTCAGTGTCTCTTTTCTCTCCCTATAGGATTGAAGGCATCACAAGCTCAGATCAGATGGGTTCCTTCACACGCCTCAAACGGTTCGTGGAGGTAAGACACCCTTAGACCAGCATGTCCCGAACTGTTGCTGTCCTCAAGTGGGCCTGGGTCTGACAAGCTTCAGATCTCTAGGCTCTGACTGCAATCTTCTCTTGATTTTTCTGAACCCTACATTTTTTTTAATCTCTTCTCCATCCTTTCTGTAATTACATCTTCAAAGACCGTATTTTTTTTTATTTTGTTATCATTAGTCTACAATTACGTGCAGAACATTATATTTACTAGACTCCCCCCCTTCACCAAGTCCCCCCCACAATCCCCATTACAGTCACTGTCCATCAGCGTAGTAAAATGCTGTAGAATCACTACCTGTCTTCTCTGTGTTTCACAACCCTCCCCATGCCCCCCCCACATTAGACATGCTAATCGTAATGCCCCCTTTCTTTTCTCTGCCTTCTCCCTCCCTTCCCACCCATCCTCCCCAGTCCCTTTCCCTTTGGTAACTGTTAGTCCATTCTTGGGTTCTGTGATTCTGCTGCTGTTTTGTTCCTTCAGTTTTTTTTTTGTTCTTATACTCCACATATGAGTGAAATCATTTGGTACTTGTCGTTTTCCGCCTAAGAGCCAAACATTTTTAAGAGGTTAACTTTGATAAATAATTTATAACTCTTTGGTAGGTCTTCCAAGACTGTCCACAGACTTCCAGATTCCAGTGGCCCAGCGGGGAAAAAAGTGACAGCGAAGGATGAGGCCAGGCCCTGGGGGGTGGGGCGGGGCAGGCATGGTGACTGCAGAACACGTGTCCCCTGTCATGCCTCACTCAGAAGCAGACGTCTTATACACAACACTATACATTTTCCCTTCTGACTGCTGCTCCATAGGACTTAATGTGCCGTGCCCCAGAGTTTCTTCCGGCTCCAGAGTGTTGGACTGAGTGTTACAAGAAAATCATTGTTTTCTCCATCTTTCCCTGACCAGGAATGCTGGCAGCGCAAGGAGATTCCTGTGCCCAAGGGCTTTCTGCCTCCCTCCTTCTGGCGTTCCTGATGTCTGCCATCGTCCATCACCCCCATTTTGTTGTGGAAGAACAGTAATAAAGCAGTTCAAGACAACTGTATTTGGAAGAAGGCATGTCAGATGCAGAAATCTACCAATACCCGTTTTTATATATTTGTGTCTTGTGACCAGGAATGAAGATTTTCATGGGTCACAAAACCTAGGTGGCCCCTTAGTAGATCTGATGACTCCCTAAGGGGTCCATGTGCTGAGCGATGGACTCAAAAGGTCCACTTTTACAGTGACTGCAATGGGGTATGTGGGGGGGACTTGTTAATAGGGGGAGTCTAGAACCATAATCAAATAATTGTATATTAACAGTACCAAAATTAAAAAATAACAAAAAAATAAAAATAATTTAAAAACACGGTCCACTTTAATTGTCTCGGTTAGTAGCTAAGGCCCAGTCCTTACCTGCAAGTCAAGGTTATGGTGGCTTTTGCTTTCCTCAGCTTGTGACATAATTGTAAATTCAGAGGAAATGCCCGATGTTGACAAGGATGAGTCCCAGACAGCACCGGAGGCAGTTTAGTGTCTGGGATCAGGGCTGTTAGCACATGTATTTTGAACCAAAAAACACTGTTTGTTCTTTAAATTTGGAATCTGGTCTGTGGACCACTAGGGATGCAAAAACCAGGCAGGTGCCTTTGTGTTTTTCAGTTTGGGTTCGATTGGGCTGAGATGGGGCCTGGTACGCTGTGCATGGGCTGAGCATCTGTAAGCAGTGGACACAGGGTTAAACATGTTAGGGAAGAACTGAGAACTGCTTTCTCATTTTTTAAACGTTCTGCATAATGAATGATGATAGGGCTTGGTTCTTCAGACAAGAATGGGATTTGTTCTGTGGAAGGACTCATTCTCCTTCACACTGCAGAGGCAGCAGCCATGAATCTGTTCCATGGGCTAAATGTCGTGGGAGGGATGTGTTTTAGGGGTATTCCCTGCTATTCCTGAGTGACTTGAAGAGGTTTATTCCATGAATTATTGACTATGGTGCCAAAAAATGAGTAATAAAGCTTGATTTTTAAAAAGCCATTGCTCAAAAATGAACAAGTGGGACTATTCAAGCTGAAAAGCTTCTGTACAGCAAAGGACACCATCAGTAGAACAAAAAGGTACCCTACAGTATGGGAGAATATATTCGTAAATGACAGATCCGATAAAGGATTGACATCTAAAATATATAAAGAGCTCATGCACCTCAACAAACAAAAAGCAAATAATCCAATTAAAAAATGGGCAGAGGAGCTGAACAGACAGTTCTCCAAAGAAGAAGTTCAGATGGCCAACAGACACATGAAAAGATGCTCCACATCGCTTGTCATCAGAGAAATGCAAATTAAAACCACAATGAGATATCACCTCACACCAGTAAGGATCACCACCATCCAAAAGACAAACAAAAAAAATGTTGGCGAGGGTGTGGACAAAGGGGAACCCTCCTACACTGCTGGTGGGAATGCAAATTAGTTCAACCATTGTGGAAAGCAGAATGGAGGTTCCTCAAAAAGCTCAAAATAGAAACACCATTTGACCCAGGAATTCCACTTCCAGGAATTTACTCTAAGAATACAGCACTCCAGTTTGAAAAGGACAGGTGCACCCCTATGTTTATCGCAGCACTATTTACAATAGCGAAGAAATGGAAGCAACCTAAATGTCCATCAGTAGATGAATGGATAAAGAAGGTGTGGTACATATACACAATGGAATATTATTCAGCCATAAGAAAAAAAAACAGATCCTACCATTCACAACAACATGGATGGAGCTAGAGGGTATTATGCTCAGTGAAATAAGCCAGGCAGAGAAAGACAAGTACCAAATGATTTCACTCATCTGTGGAGTGTAAGAACAAAGAAAAACTGAAGGAACAAAAAACAGCCAAATCACAGAACCCAAGAATGGACTAACAGTTACCAAAGGGAAAGGGACTGGGCAGGATGGGTGGGAGGGGAGGGAAAAAGAAAGGGGGCATTATGATTAGCATGTATAATTGGGGGGGCATAGGGAGGGCTGTGCAACACAAGACAAGTAGTGAGTCTACAGCATCTTACTACGCTGATGGACAGTGACTGTAATGGGGTTTGTGGGGGGGACTTGGTGAAGGGGGGAGTCTAGTAACCATAATGTTTTTCATGTAATTGTAGATAAATGATAATAAAATGAATTTTTTTAAAAAAGCCATTGCTGCTATCTAGTTGTTTCAGTATGATCAATTTCCTGTACCTTGAGCTATAAATCATCGGCACAGCAGTCGGGTGCCCAAGTCTAGGTATAGAATGCTATGTGTTTTTCTCTTTTGTATCTTCTTTACCTTCACCTTGGGAAAATGGCTTTTTTTCTGTCATTCTTCTTTAGGAACTATATCCCAGTAACTGACCCTGTTTTATCTAGCAAAAATGGAAAAATAAACAGCAGGGAAGGAGTCAGACTTGTTTTAGGTTTTCACTTTTAGGTTTTTGTGGCCTTGGGTAGGTCACCCACCGTCTCTGAACCTCTGGCCCCTAGATGAGTAGTTTTCAAATTGTGCTCCTGAGCAATGCCTTCCCGGAAGGCAGAACATCCCAGCTGGTGTGTAATGGCAGTTTAGCTCCTTAGCGCAGGGAGGGGCCCTGAGCCAGTGGCCGTTTGCACCTCCTCTCTGCCTGTGCTTTACTGATGCCATCTATGTGTGTGTCCTCACAGGCAGCGAGTTGGGAAGCACTGACTTTGGGGTGTTGAGCGGATGGGCTCAGCTCTAGTCAGTCGGCATACCGAGGCTTTGCAAATTTTAAAAAGGTCTCCCTTCAAGATACTACTGCCATCTGAAACAATGAATAAAACAGGAGTAGACTCAGAGACACTGAGAAGTAACTAGTGGTTGCTATGGGGGAGCGGGTGGGAGGGGTGGGTAGGAGAGGGATAAAAGGGCACAGAAGTCCTCAGTCATAACATCAGTCAGTCACGGGGATAGTAGTGCAGCACGGGGAATATAGTCAATTCGGTAACATCCTCCTCTTGACACAGAAACCGCACTGGAGGGTGTGAGGATCGAGTAACACAGGTAACCATTAAACCACTGTGTTGTATACTTGAAACCAATATAAGATTGTATATCAATGATACTTCAAAATAATAATAATAATAAAAGATGACTACTGCCATTTGCTGGAATATTGTCCCATCAATAACCATGAAAATCCGTGGTAGCAGGAGAGGTTAGAATATCTGGCTCACAGTTGCACAACCTTTAAGTGGAGCCCTGATGGAATGCTGGGATCTCTGCCATGGCATTTTTGCTCTCTATGCCGCGTGTCTCGGGGTTCTGTGTTAGATTATATACAGGGAAGACCCTCTGCCAAAAAAGAAATGTGGAAAATGACTGGACGAGATGAACTCTAAGGACTCTTCCACTCTGAATTTGCACCACTCCATAGAAAATGCCTCTTAGACTATTTGGGTGTTCTTTCTCTGAATGTGTCAACAGTCGTGTACGTGTCATTGGATGCTTGGCGCTCCTAGGGGGTTCTTGCTAGTAAACCAAGAAAGTAGAGCATTGGGGAGGCCAGGTTTCGATGCTCACTGATAGTGTCGCCTTCAGAGATCCTGTTTGCTAGCTGGTAGGTGCAACTCCTGATGGGCAGGAGCAGCAGGTTCCTTAGAGCGGAATACTTAAAGACTGCATTCAGTTTGTGAATTCAAGTCCTCACTTGCCTGCTAGCTTTCTGTCAGGATTGACCTCATTTCTCAGGCTGAGTACCCATATTTTTGTCTTATCATTGTCCTACATCATTTTAAAGCAAATTTGATAGTGAATTGAAAATTGCAGCAGGAGAGAAACCCTACATATACCTTAGACAGTAGAATGGAGCTGTTCTGGAGATTTGCCACCCAAGCACTGGAAGCTTTCCTGTCTTCTAAGCTTCCTGTGATGACCTCAGTGACAGGTTTGGATGTCTTCTGGGTTAGTGCTGGGACAACCAAAAGGGCCACAGAGCTTCACACAGTTGCCTTTTCAGGCCCAGCCCTTCATGTCCCTTTTTTCTGTTCTACCTAATGAATTCCTCATCCTAGGTTTTCTGTGGCCCTGCAGAAAGCAGATGAGAGCTGTGGTCAGCTCTGTGATGAATTTACAAAACACCCATTAGAAAGGAATTTATTGTCTAGTTTACAACCAGGCTCCATTTTTTAAAAATAGCCAGTTTATACAGATGATGTATTCAAGAAACATGTGTCTTTTAGCTCCCTCAGGATGTTTTCATGAAAGGTAGTATGTGATCCTGGGTTGGATCCTGGACCAGAAAAAATACATCTTGTTGTGTGTTTGTCTTATAAAGAACACTGGGACAACTGGAAAAATTTGAATAAGATCTAATGTTAGATAACAGTATTATGTCAACATTAATTTCCTGACTTTGATCATTGTCCTGTGGTGATAAAAATGAATGTCGTTGTTCTTAAGAAATATTCATGAAGAACTTGGAGGTACCTGGGAATGGGGTGTGCAGTTCTCAGATGATTCAGTGGGAAAGCATGTATCTACACGCACGTGTGTGTGTGCATGTACATGTCATGTAAGTATATACATACATAGAATAAATGTCATATGCTAAGAAATGGGGGAATATGGGTAAAGGGTATATGGGATTTTTTCCTATTATTCCTATAGCTTTAAATTATTTGAAAATTTAAAGATAACCCTCCTCCCCTACCTAAGCAAACAAAAAGCAATGCTTGCAACTCTTAAGGAGGGGACCAGGTGAAGTAGCAGATGAAATAAGAACAAAATGATGAAAGACTTGATAATTGTTGAAGCTGGTTGGGGGCCTGTGGGGGTTCAGTGTACCAGTCTGAGTACCAAGTTTATGTTTGAAATATTCCTTTACAAAATTCTTATATTCTAAAGAAAAAGGGCTTTTTCTTGCAGGAGGACTTTATGGTGCCTTAACTATGCTGCTTTGAATTGTTAACTTCCAAGAGCTTGCAGTGTTCTGGAACTGACGGTGGAGTTCCTATTTCCAGAGTTACTCTTGAGCCTAGTATTTCTGGGAACATACTTTTTGAAATGCTTACTTGGAGTTTAGGAAAGTATCTTGGAGATAGTGTTTGATCCAGATACTTAAAACTACTCAGAAATGTTTTTAAAAACCCTTTTATTTTGGGTGTCATCTGTGAACATTGCCTTGGGTCATCTCTGCATGTCTACACACAAATACACAAATACAGTGCTTCTGAGATAGATGCATACCTGCTCTCTTTCAGTAACATCTCAGATGTTTTCCCAAGTCAGTCAGTATGAACTCTTTCACCAATATAGTCTGTCAAACTTATGAATTGTAATGAACCATTTATCTGTCAGTGGCAAGTTGCTTCTACTTTTTTCAATTACGTTTTTTTACAATTGTTACAATTGTTTACAGTTATTAACATTTGCTATAATAAATATATATCTTGTCCTACCTCCTTAGAGTAAATTTTGGATGTAATATGTCAAATGGATATTCTGATCCATACTGCTAAATCATTCTTCCAGGAAGTTTCTTCTGAGAAACTGAAAATGGGTGGGATTTGTCAGGCAGAAGGGAAGAGTGGGCTTTGGGAGAGAGAAGGCTGTTCTAATTGGAGGAAAAAGTATGAGCTGGAGCAGGAAGTTGAATAAATAAATAACCCTGTTCAGGATGTGGCTAAATTCAAGGCTGGAGAAAAGCTGTAGGAAATGACCCTGGAAAAGGTAAAGTGGAGCAAATTTATGGAGGCTTTGGAATATCTAAATAGTTTGGGTGATTCTATAGGCAATGGGAAGCTAACTTTTTTTTTTCCCAAAAGGCAAAGTGTTTATTTTGGAATCAAAGAATTGCAGTTTGGGGTACACAGATCTAGGTAGAAAGCCACATAGTGTCTTGATTACAGGAGGTAGACTATGGGTTTTTATGGAAAAAATGAAAGATTAGCTAAGTTTTTAAGAAGAGTTATTTGGTGCTGAAAGGAAGGCTAGATTTACACTTCTTCGGTCAGATGTCACCAGGGAAAAGTTTAATTTTATCAATCTTTTCAACCAGGATTTTCTCCTTGCTGACTTCTTGGACTGTGGGCAGTTGGGTGCAGCTGAATGGGTTAGAAAACAGGATGTGCAAGGCAGCTCCTCTGTAATGGCCACACTGGTTCTATTTCAAAATGGTTCTGTTTATGTCATTTTCCACAAAATAAAGATAAAATGTTTAAATCATTTGAAGTCCCAAATGCTCTCTGTCATCAGCAGTCTTTCTTTTTTTTTTTTAATTAAGGTATCATTGATATACAGTCTTATGAATATTTCACATGAGCAACATTGTGGCTTCAACATTCACCCATTATTATCAAGTTTCCCCCACACCCCACTGCAATCACTGTCCATCAGCGCAGTAAGATGCTACAGAATCTTGTCTTCTTTGTGCTGTACTACCTTCCCTGTGACCTACCTGTATTGTGTGTGCTAATTATAACACCCATTAATCTCCCTCCCCACCCGCCCTCCCTAACCCTTTCCCTTTCGTAACCACTAGTCCCTTCTTGGAGTCTGTGAGTCCGCTGCTATTTTGTTCCTTCAGTTTTGCTCTGTTGTTATACTCCACAAATGAGTGAAATCATTTGGTACTTGTCTTTCTCTGCCTGGCTTATTTCACTGAGCCTAATACCTCTAGTTGCATCCATGTTGTTGCAAATGGTACGATTTGTTTCCTTTTTATGGCTGCATAATATTCCATTGTGTATATGTACCACCTCTTCTTTATTCATTCATCTACTGGTGGACACTTAGTTTAGGAAGCTAACGGTTTCCCAGCACGGTTTGATGTGGTTTGTGAGGCATTCTGACTGTGCTCAGGATGAACAGGAGGTACAATGACTGATGGAGCCTCAAAGGCAGTCCCACCAGAGTACAGATGTGAAATAAGCCAGTGGGCTTAGGAAGATGTACAAGGGGAGGGGGGGACTGTCACTTGTCATCCTTTGAAGCAAACCAGCCCAGCAAGGCCATGCCCCAGCAGCTGTCAGTCTTCTTCTCTAACATGGTCCCTGATTTCAGAAGCAGTCGCTGTGTTTTGTTTTGTTTTTAAATTATGATAAAAGATATATAACATACAATTAACCGTTCTAGCCATTTTTTAAGGGGATAGTTCTGTGGCATTAAGTATAACCATCACCACCATCCAACTCCTAAGAGTTTCCTCTTGCAAAATTGACACACTGAGCTCATTAAACACCAACTCCCCATTCCCCCACCTCCCCAGCCCCCGACAACCCTTGCTCTACTTCCTGTTTCTATGAATTTGACTATTCTAGGGTCCTCATGTAAGTGGAATCATGCAGTATTTATTTGTCCTTTGTGTTTGATTTAAATTAGCATAATGTTCTCAAGCTTCATCCAGTCACTGTTTTGAAGATCTGTGCTATTTCTTGCCAGCTCTGACACTGCAGAATGTCATATGGGAAGTAGCGTTCACTTACCAGTGTCACTTCCCAATCAGCAACCTTGCAGGAAGGAAAAATAGTGAAAGTACTTGATGCTTGCTTGTTAACTGCTGGGGGAGGAGGAGGGATGAAGAGGGAGAGGGAGAAAGGGAAAGAGACTCTCCCAGGGAGAGAGTGGGCAAGTTACCTTCCAAGCCAGAACAAGTGAAAATATCATTACAGTTGGTGTATTTCCCAAACAAGAGGTGTATGACCTCTTGAACAACCTGAAAAAGTATTGGAACTAGATGCCTAAACTTAGGGCACATATCAGACTTAAGACAACTGCTGGAATAGAATTCAGCCCTCCACCCTCCACCCCTGCTTTTCAGGAGCCAAGAGCACTTGTGACAGAGAACAGAAGCTGACTGGCTAAGAGCTGCTACACTCTCCTGTGCTTCTTTTTGTTGGTTTTCTTTATGAATGAGTCTCAGAAAACAGAGGGCCATTTTCTGCAGTGTCATCTCCCTCTCCCCACACCTAGCAGAGTGTCAGGCATCTGGTGAGACTGGTGGGCACTGAGGTAGGCAGACAATAGAACACGTGAAGAACGCCTTGTAAGTGCCTCACTTCCAGAGCCAAATGTAGAACGTGGTGGGTGAGTGAGTGGGAGGTGGCCGGGCTGCAGACTCTGTTTTTTGGCCTGGTCTCAAATCAGACAAACATCAACCAGTAAGATTTTGGTTTCTGTATCAATACAGAAGCTCTCTCTAAGGTCTCAAATCTGTTTTAATTTGCACCTGGTAAAAGCAGCAAAGCCCCCATTTCACTATGAAGCTAGAGTGCTTTAAAAGAAAAATCTTCCCTTTTTATAGCTCCTGTCCACAGCCTTGAGACCTGTTCTTTGCAGGAGCCGAAGATCTTAGAAATTTTGGAGAGCTATGGTTATGTTAGCCATCTTGTGCCCAGAGCTGAATATTCCATGAAACATTTTGCTGTTACCCGTTGGAGAAGAGGCTGGAGACCAGACACCATCAGCTGTTCCCAGGAAGGGAACGGGGGTGGGGGTTGTTATCCTGTCCTGTTTTCTCTACATCGAAGTGCTTAGCTCCTACATTTTTCCTCCGGATTCTGTAAAGCAGCTTCTGAAGTGTGGCCACTCCTTTTTTCTCTCCACTCTGATGGAGTGAGGGAATGGGGACTTTGTACTTACTATCATGGCTACAGCCAGGGCAGTTTAGAAACCAGATAGCCGATCCCAGGCACCAGGGAAGAAGCCAAACTGCAGAGGACCAGGAAGCTCAGGGCTGGCCTGGGCACAGTTCTGGTGTAGTGCCCACAGCCTTCATCAATTCATTCAAAGGGGAGGGCTGCTTGGTAACAGGGAGGCTGCAGAGCTCCTGGTCTGCCTGACTGCTCAGGAATGATCTGAGTGTTACTCCCAATGGCTGCCGCCCAGCTGTCACCAGAGCGGGGGTGGGTGAAACGCTTGCTAACAGGGCTGCTACCTACAGAGATTAGCTACAGAACAGGCCCTTCAACTCCTAAGGCTGTAAGAAACAGAAATTCCAGAAATCTTATTTTTCATAGCACCTCGACATGCACCACCACAATGCCTCCCTTTCCTATGAGAAGGTGGTATACCGTACTGTTTAAGAGGTCTGATTCTTGGGTTCAAATCCTACCTTTCCCTCTTGCTGGCAGCCTGACCTCAGGCCAGAGGCCTGGCTTCTTTGTCAGGATGCTCCTTGGTAAAATGGGGAAGGAATACCTGCCTTGTAAAATGATTGCACAGATTAAAAAAATAAAGGTAACACACATGAAATGCCTGGTACATAGGTCCTAGTACATTAGGCAAGTTCAATTAATTGTGGCAGGAAGAACTTTATCTTGTTTATAAAATGCCACTAATGCATCCTATTCCACAGACACCTGTAAGTTTTTGCTGTAATAATATTAGAAATTAACCCTCCAAATCCTGGAATGGCAGACTTAAACCCAAGATTTGGTCGACTTTATTTTTATTTGGCCTTTTCTCGCCATCTCCTCAAACCCGGAGCCCCAAATCACCCTGAGTTTCTTGACCCCAGCCAGCCCCCAGCTCCCATTAGCGTAGGCTCCACCTCTAGCGAAAGGGGCCAGGAGGAAGAGAGGCCTCCGCGTGATCTCATCCTTTGGGACAGGGCGTTTTTCCGGTCAGGACGCGCAGCATCCCCAGACACACTGCAGCGACGGCTCCAGCCCCGCCTTTCGCTGCAGTCCTGGAAGGGTTCCCAGGGGCGGAGGGGTGGGGTGCAGAAGATTCTCTGCAGGGCGGGGAGGGGCAGGATTGAAGGACCCAAGCTGAGTGAAAGGCAGTGCGGAGCTGCACCTGGGCGCGCCCGGGCGGGGGCACTGACTCCACTGCACCATCAACCCCCACCCTTGGCGCGCCCTCCTTCCCCAACCTCTCGCTGAGCTCCCGAGGCTCGGCTCTTGCCCACGATCGCTGCTTCGGCTGCTTCCGGGAGCACTCGGCCTTTTCCGCCGGCTGATCGGGACGCAAACCGGCGGGAGCTCCGCCCCCTTTGCTCTGCTGGAGCTCGCCCACGCCCCTCGCGCCGCGACGGAGCACTTCCCCCGCGCTCGCGCCCGCGCGCCGCCGGAACGGTTGTGGCCGCCTATAAAAGAGGTGGGGCGCGCGCGTCGCTGCCACTACCGTCTGCGGAGCGAACCGCGAGGAGGAAACCGCTGAGGCGCGTCGTCCCCTCAGCGCCCCCAGCCCCGCGCACCTACTGCTTCTACCCAGGAGCCGGTGAGAGGGGGAGCTGGGGAGCTTGGGGCGGCAGCGAGCCGGGGGCCGCCGACCCCTGGACCGCGAGCCGGGCAGCCAGGGCGGGGCGGGGCCGGTGCGCGGACAGGTGAGCGCTGCGGCCTCGCAGCTCCTTCGGTCGGGCGAGGAGGGGGGGCGAGCCGGCCAGGATAGGCTCGCGGCGCGTAGGCTGCGGAGGAGCCTCCCGCCGAGCCAGGGCGCCGGCGGCTGGAATGTCATTGCTGGGCAGGGGGGGTGGGGGCGAGACTGCCGCTGTCTCCCAACGCCCGGCTGCGGCCCCGCCCGGCTGCGGCAGGTGGGGTGGGGGCTCCGCGGGCGGGGTCGTCCCCTCCCCCGCCCCCTCCCTGCAGAGGGCTCCCCCGCCGCCCCTAGTCCCTTCTCTCGGTGGGGAGCGACTCTGCTCCTTTTTTCCCAAATGCCCACAAGCAGTGCTGGCCCACCCCTTGAAGGAAGAAGAGCCGAGACCCTAAAGGACTGTTTGACCTTAATTTTATCCTGCTTGGCGATTCTTCGCCTTTTCTCTAGACGCAGAGAGGTCCGAGGCTGGCCATCTTTCCTTTTAATAAACATTTCTGTCCCACCCAGTTGTGATTTGCTTGTCAATAACAGGTAGATGTGGCCCTTGCTTTGTATGAGGTCCAAATCAAATGGCTTAAGAGTTGTTTTTTTTTTTTTTTTTCCCTAAGATCGTGTCCTTCGAGTCGAGGACATTATATTTGTCAAAAATTGAGCAGCCATGCCAGTGTTGAATGATGGAGCAGCCTTTTGTTTGCAAGCCGAATCTGATTAGATGCTTCCCAAAGAAAATTGCCTTAAAAAGCCTCCTTTATGTACTGGGATAAAATATTTTAAATAAGGGGCTTGTTAAGGTTAAGGGTTGAATATGTTTTAAATTAAAACCCCGAATAGCCCAGAAAGCTGGTTTGAGGTGGTGCTTGATTTGCTGCAACGTCTTATCAAATCTCTTCTATATAATAGATCCTAAAATATGTAGGACCTTTGTTCTGTCTTCATCATGTATGTTAGAAAAACTTATAGCTATCAGGATAGAGTAGAAGAGAGAAGTCTTAAGTATTTTCTTAATGTGTTAAGAAATTGCGGCGTCATAGCAATTGGATTTAAGTAAAACAGTGTATCAAAGATGGAAGGGGTGGGGGTGTCTTGCAGCCAGGAAACAAAGTCTTAAGGAACAGCAGTGGGAACATTGAGTGAAGGTTCCAACTCCTTAAACTAGTGGTTTATTTTCCCTTTGGTTGTAGCTAATGTCTCAGATTTTGAAAGGTCAAAATGAAGTCGAAGTTTAAAAAATGTGCTGCAGGAAAAAAAATGCTGCAGTAAGGGCCTCTTTGCAGGAAATTAACAGTAAGCCTCTTTTAGTAACTGGGCCAGAAATTACTCAAAGGGATCCTCAAAGTGTGTTAGCTGTTACCTAGGGACCTAGATGGAGAGAGAAGACTCGCAAGAGGATTTGCTCTGTACTGGGTAGGTGTGAAGCAGTTCTGGTCAGCCACCAGCTTGGTAATATTCTCTGATGTGCTTTTGGTCTTGGCACTGTGTTTTGTAGTAATCTAATAACTGGAGAGATCGGATACATCACAGGCTCCCGTGAGCTTGTCAGGCAATCTGATGAACAGGTTTAGGTGGGAAGAGCGGTTTTTTAATAATATCTTTTGGTTGCCTGGGTTAGAATTTTCTCTTCCTTTTCCTTAACGTGCCTTCATCCCGAAGGGAGGTGCCGACTGCAGATCCTAAGTGGGTGTCAGGAGTAGTCCACAGCCCTGTCATTGCTGAACCTGCAGTAAGGACAGTGGGCACGAGGCCAGCCTCGTAACCAATCCTACTGGGCTATGCGAGGACTCCACTAGCTATGCAGTGAGGCTGCTGCAGCTGTGGTCGCGAATGCAGCGCTCTGAAGGCAGCTGCGGCCTCCAGGAATGCAGAGGAGGCACCGTAGCCCACGGCTGGTGGAGCTAGCTAACTTCCCTTACACCTTTTTTGCATATTCCTTTGCTACAGGTTTTGAACAGGAAATAATACTGTATGAAGGACCTGTACTGGTACACTAGGCCCAAGTTAGATCTTTGTAGTCAGTTCTTGTTTCTGATGATTTCATGAAATCATGCTGTTTTGTTACTGAATGGAAGGGAATTTAGGAAATAATCTAGTCCTGGGAGTCAATTAATTTATTGGAATGTGGGTTGGGGGAGGGCGTGTTTAATGTTAAAAAGTGTATTCAGTATTATTACTTTATTTGAAAAAACAGGAAGCTGAGACACTCTGAAGGGGTTCTTGGCCAAGGCAGCTCATCTGGATAGATAGAACTGCTGAGACCAGAGAAGCTTGGCTGTCACAAACATTTGAAATCCCTGGTGGGATCTGGAAACTCTGAAAGGAGAAAGGTGCTGGGAAAGCAACAGCAATTTGATTTTCACCTGTATTCACATATTTCTAATAGTCTGTTTTCTTCATTTTGAACTTATTTTGTTCAGTTTGGCCTTAGAAGCCTGTTATCTTGCTCTTCCCGTCCCTCTCTAGACGCCACATTCCTCCATCATGTTGTCATCGTTTCGTAAGCGCAGAGTCCAGGTATTTGACCAGCATGCAGGAAACGGTTGCCTTTTCGGTTTTGCCTGGCTTGTAGTGAAGACACATTTGTGTGTCAGAGAGGTTGAGTGATCCAGAGAGAGGGGGAAATATCCTGCCTGCATGAACGTTCTGTTAAGCAAGTTGGTTAGGGTTTGGGGATTTGTTTTTTTTGGTGTTACATAAACAGAGGTCTTAGTAAATTTATTCCAAAATTTCCAAAGCCTCCTGTTTTTTTTTACCTCCTCTCTTTAAGGCATGACTGTATTAATTTCTTATCACCCTGTTGGCATTTGCATGTAGTGTTTGCTTCCTTTTTCCTTTTTTTTTCTTTTTTTGATGGTTACTTGGTTCTTAAGAACCAAGAGACTAAACAGATTATCTTAGATATTTGGAAAAAATTTTTTTAAAAATCTGAAAAATTAGTAAAAATAGTATTTTTAAATTTGACAAATACAAACAGTAAACTTGGGTTTGTTTCCTGTTTTTTCTGCCACAATCCTTGTAAAAGTGCACTCTGTATCTGTATTATATGTGTACAGTTTTTGAGTGCTGAATTGGATGTTTTTCAAAAAGAACAATGCTTAAAATTAATGTCTTACTATCCCATAAGAAGAAATATAAACTTTGCAAATGTCTAGTGATTATGGGTGATAAATCCAAGGCAAGCCCTTTTATAAATCAGACTGGTTAATTATTTACATGAGGTTTATAAAAATGGGCCATATTATAACTTTATCATCCTGTTGTGAATCTGGGTAACAATATTTTGCACTTAAATACTTCTCTGAATTTTACAGGTTAAAAGGTAAGTAGCAGCAAGATAGTATTTGGGAAGCATCAGAAGTAAGTTTTCTCAGCGTTGCTCTGCATTCCTGGATTTTTATGCAATGCAGTATGAATCTTTTGCTTTCTGAAAGCTAAGTCCCTGCTCACCTCTGCAGAATCGTGCTAACAAGTTGAAATGAATTAATCAATTTAAAGGCTGATGTGGATCCACAATCCTGATTGGAATGTGGTTTAAGCAAAAAATACTTGGTTTTATTCGTGGTTAAAATTTATGTATTATTTACCTCTGCTTACCATCAGATCTGCCACTAAAATCTGTAGCTAAGCTGGTTTTGAGTTCTTCTGTTTGATCTGAGAATGAACTGGAATACAGTTTTATGGGTGCTAACCAATTCTTCGGTGGTTTGTTCTGGGGGAAGCCCTTCCACAGGCTTGGATGTAGTTCTCTTGCTTTGCAAAAGTATGATTGGGTAATAGGTTGGCTTTCTAAGCCACGCAAAAACAGCATTGTGCGTTTTGCACCTCTGGGTTCTGACTCAACAAAAACAAAACTGATGAATGTTTTATGACCTTTTGCTCTGGGCAGTGTTTGTGACATTTTCCATAGAGCCAAATATTCTATTCATCCTGTGAGTCCCAAAAATCCCTTTCCTTGCAAAACAGTGTATCTGGAGAAGTCTGAGGGCATTTTGTAGTATTCCACTCGCCCCTTACATTGGCACAATCAGCTTGCTGTAAAAGGACCAAGCTGAAAGGACTGCAGTTGGAGTCCTTTCATCTTCACTACAATTTTATTCTCCTCTGGGGTTCCATAGAGAAACTGTGATTGCTTCATTCTTCCACTCTCCAAGATCTGTGTGAGGGTGTCCTAAGCTATTCACTGCAGGTGCCAAGTTGGCAGAGTTTAAAGCGTTTGACCTTTGGTTTGGGAATGTTTGTATCTGCAGTCTTTTGTTTAACACAGTGTCATTCTCACCCTTTCCCCACCCTGCAAAGACAGTATATCCCTTGCACAATGGGGTGTATAGCTTCTGGAGATCAAGTAGAGATGACTGCCTCAGCTATTCCTTGGTGTTCTGCAAGAAGACAAAGATATTAATGTCTAGCCTCATTTGTTGGAATCCATTTTCATTAATAATGTGTAAAAGTTTGTGTTGGATATGAGGAGTCATTCTCAGGAATGTCATGTTTTTTGCATTAGACTAGAACTTTCTACCCAAGAGTCATATCTTTTAGGAAGAGTTGTCTTTGTTGTATTTTTAAAAATATATGTGGTTTTGGGAGGAGATTTCCACTGCTCTACTCATGCCGCCATCTTGGCTCCACCCCCCAAGAGTCATATCTTAAGACCCCTCTATTTTCCCAGAGATCTGGCAATACTGTAATAATGCTGACAAGTTCTTTTTATTTATTATAATAGAGGACATAGTTATAATTCCTGTTTTATCCCCTGAGATCAATTCACATTATTTGCTGAATGATGTAGCTAACATTTGCTGCATTGCAGCATTTATAAATAGCATACATTTGCAGTCTCCTCTGATAATATTTGCAAAAACAGGACCTTTTTCTTTGGTTACTTTAAATGGGTAGCTGTTCTGAAACGGAGAGAGAATACACTGAACACTTCGTTTCCCCTCCCCCACATTCTCTGTGCAGAAACTTGATTGGCAAAATCAGAGTTGATTGGCTGCTTTGAGATAGTAGGTTGATTGCAGTCCTAGGAAGTCAGCTCCTCCTCAGTTTGGGGGCAGTTAAGTGGAATGGATAGGCTGGTGTGGTTAGAGATTGTTTTTTAATGGCACGTTTCCCAGAGTCTCCCTTTCTAGCTCTCACAAGGCGTTAAT